TTCGTGAAATGTTCTATGCTGTTGTTTGAGTCAATGGCTAATTTGAGTTACAAGGAATGCTTGAAACAGGGTCAATTGTGTCGACACTCAATGAGGGAGCAGAAGAGAGACTTTTTGCTAACGATATTGTCACAAGGAAGCGTCCACTAACTGAAAGGGTGATTCTGGTAGGTTGTAGAAATCAGCAGGTACAGTCTAAGGCCATATATGAAACTGAACTTACCTTATATGAGGTGAAGCACACTGTCCAGTTCTTGTAGTCCAAAGACAGAAAGATGACATCAGTATAGTTGCGCGTCTTAAGTTAGTCGAAATATTCTTTTTCGCAAAACATGAGCTATGTTATAAAACATGAGTAATCAATAATTATCTCTAATTATTTGCTGAATTTTTTTTGTGTTGATTTTCCAGTTGTACAGAAGACAGGCATTACCAGTTGTTTTTGGCATATGCACCAACAATGATCGATCACAACAGTGCCTGAATTCGATTGGTTGCAGTTCATTGAAAACTTTATTTCATCAGAGTCATAATCTACACTACATATGTCACTGTCTCAAACATATACTCGGGAGAGCAAGCACCAATTTTCGATTGCGTGTACCAGTATGGAAGTGTGTTGCTTTACCAAGTGTCATGAAACGCTGGGATCACAGCGAGAAAGTAAAACACAGGACTCCAGGTACAAAAAAAGGCAAAAAAAAACATACAGCGAAATGTTACAATGTCAATACCGGACTGGGGAAACGGACTTGAACGCAGATTAAAATACACAGGACTAATCAGAAATAACACGGGACAGCTGGTTACATCGGGATTTCACACAAAGTAATGAGGGGGGTGTGGCGCACGGAAGGATCGGACGAGCGGGTCATGACACCATGTGTGTTCACACCGGCAAGTTTTCACATTTACATATCAGATGTTTTTTTTTTTTTTAAATGAATTTCCTTTTTATGTTAATGAGTAGACTACATAGCTTTACATAACTGTTTCGCTCTATATTACATTGCAATACAAACACACATCAAAATCCAAAATATCATTATAGCAAGAAAGCACATCTATAGTTTCCTTTGCTGTCAGTGTGTCCCAGTAGTTTTTGTCCATTACAGTACAGGAGAATAAATTTAGAACAGGAGACATTTTATACATTACTATAAAGAGATGGGCTCAGTGATATATGAATATATCGGTTATTAAGATTTTAGATTAACATAACGCCTAATTTCCTCCATAGAATTAATCAAATCTTTACGATAGAAATGTCACAACTCCCTCTAATGTACTCATCATGGGGGTCTATGTAAGACAGTGGGGCAGATGTTCATGAGAAACTGTTGGAAAAGTTAATGGTTGACCGGAGGATGTCTTACAATTTAAGGAGGGATCACATTCCTCAACATCCCTTGAAATGTCTATGCCTGAGTACTGGAGAGGAGGCACTGTCCGTTGGTCAAACCACAGATCCAGGAGGATCCTGGTTGCAGAATGCTGGACCAACTCTTCACCCTCACAAGGATACTGGAGAGTTCATGGGAATTTTCCCAACTCATCTACATGTGCTTCGTGGACTTGGATCGTTTCCCTCAGGGGGTCCTGTGGGGGGTGCTTCTGTCTGTGCTCCGTGTGCTGTGAGACATGACATAATGACTGGACTCGACAAGAAAATGCCTCCCCTCACGGAAGGAGAATACCTCCAAGCAATCGATGAGGTAATTTACTGGCTCACCCAGCCCGAGGTGAAGAAGGACCCCGCAGTGCAAGCCCTCACTATTCGCTCACGGGAGATCCTGGAGCAGATCTCCCCATCCGATGACTCGCCCCTTACGGAAGAGGTGCAAGCCAATCTACGGCAGTTGAGGGAAGGAGTGGCGGAGGCAATGATCCGGCAAGTGCACCTGGATGGAGGACTGCCTCTTCCCCCGCCTTCCGGACAGTCCGAACTCCCCGTCACCCCCGCGATGTCTGCTCGGTGGAAGGGGCGGAAGAAACGCGGAGGGGCAGATCCCTTGGGGAAATCCCCGCTGCCTGATGTGAGTCCTGCTTGCATCCCCGTGTCTCTTAAAGGGGTATACCCCACCGTGCTCAACCCCGCCGTGTTCTTCGCGCCCAAGTCTCCAGCCTCCCAGTCCAGCAAGCCGGCTCCTGACGCGCATCATTCCATTGCGCCAGCTCCTGAGACGCCCCTCCTCCTCCAACCTGTTCCAGAGGTGGAGCTCAACCCTAGTTCTGGCCTCACGGTTGCCCGCTGAAGGTTCCTCCAGCTCCCTGGTTCCCTTTGCCCTTTGGTTCCTTGCCCCCTGTGCTCACTCCCCATCCTGCTTCACTGTCATTTCCCTCTAGTTCCTATGTGCCCCCCGATACAGAATTTGTATTTTATGCACAATATGTGGGATGATTAGATTCTTGTCAGAAATTATAAGGTCACTAGCAAATTAAAGTACCATTTATGCAGGCACTACCACAATTTTTCAATAAGAATATATGTCTGAAGATCCTGAGGATCATAAAGGTCTGAGTAACAGCAGGATGCACCATGAGACCACTAAGCACACTGTAGGAGGCTTAGGCCAAAAAGGGCTGTTTGAGCCTAATGAGGAAACACAGCTGCTATAACGGGACCCGGGTAACAGTGCATAAAAGACACAGGTAGACTAATCGCCCTCTTATTCCTTGCAATCAGACTGTTTTTGTGCACCCTGACAGCCTCAGTTACACAATGTGTGCAATTAAACGTGGAATATAATGATTCTGCGTTTAAAAAAATATCCATAAATATTCAGGGTATACTTCAAGCAAGAACAGAATTAAACCATATCCAGACTCTCTCTCTCGCTCTCTATTTGTTTGTGTGTGTGTGTGTGTAATTATTATATTGTGGAGACCAGATTTCATGATATAAATAAAATAAATTAAAAACCTGTAATTTTTTTTACCTTGTGGGGACATCCCCACAAGGATAACCACAATTTTATAAAAATCTGTGACTGCAATCGAAAACCTAAAAACGCCAGCAGTCCTGTATTGTGTTTGGTCACTTATGGTTAAGGTTAGGGCTGGGTAGGGATTAGGGGGTCATTGTTGGGATTAGGGTTATGCCCACAGAAATGAATGGTCCCTACTGTGATATGAATATGTGCACTATGTGTACGTGCATAGGATCATATTCACACGCACACACACAGAGGAAATTAGCCTCGCATACTTTTTGAAAAAGCAAAAGTATATCCTTATAACTTTACTGATAAAAGTTTTCTTTGTTTACTTATAACATTCATCTTCTGTGTTTGTTATTTTCCGTCATTTGCATTGTGCTTTATGGGTGCATATTAGCACATGGTGACATATTCTTCACCTAAGGATCAATGAAAGGATTCAAAGGTCGATGGAAGCTTTGACATCATTTGCAGGCAGGGCGACTCGTTAGACACATGCTAGACTGGGGATACTGATAAGGCGAACAGTTTGATGCAAGAAAATCTCATGCATTGTTTGTCATTATTTTTACCAATAAAATATTGGATTGAAAAGCTGTGAAAGATGTACAGGCCATGATAAGCCTCTGAGATGTGTGCAATAAAGTGGCAAAATCCGGGGAAAAAGATATTCTATAATTCTATAATTCACTGTAAGCTAAAAACACACAGATATCTGCAGTTGTTCTGCTTATTTCAGTTTATTACATTCTATAGTGTAACATAAAATAAGGATCACATTTTGAGAAACGGTATTATTATTCTTAAATATTGATATTTCTTTTTAGTTTCAATATTGTTATGGTATAATGCAATTTCATTATTCAAATTCTCTTCTAGCAGAATAAAGGAGCTGGGTCATGTGACACAGGAATGGCAGGATGACAAAGGAATAGCTCCTGTAGCTCAAAAAGCACACCAGTGTGTTAACACTTGGAAGGTCATAGGTTCAAATCCTAGGAGGCACCTGTAAACCTGTAACCCTTTCTTAGACACTTTAGATAAAAGTGTTTGGTGAGTTGTTTAAATGGAATATTATTTTAGGATGGAAGTCAAAATGCATGCAATGAAAATAGAAGATAGAAAACAGGATTGGAAACAAAAGGCATTTTAGAAAACCAAATGCCTCTCAATCCAACTTGGAGTTACTTTACTATACCTGGCCCTTGTTTAAACAAATTTGGTAGAAATTAGGCATAATGGGCATCTAAATATTAATACTGCGCTATAACCAGTACATGCATGTATTTCTGAGTCCATGTCTTTATAATCTCGCTTTTCTTTGCTTCCCGTTCCAAGTTGACTGTCCTATACTTTAATGGACAAAAACTATGCTTTGTGGTCATTTAGTTCCCATTCACGTATTTATGTGAATATGTGAATGGGGCATAATGGAATGGAAGGAAAAGGGAAACTGAGGGTTTCTTTTTATATTTTTTATGTTTTGATTTCACAACACATACACTGAACACTTAACCTGGTGAAAATGCAAGGGCGTAGATTAGCTCTGGACATTGGTGGGGACCTATGACTCCTGCCCCACCCACCAACCCCGCCACCCCAACTCCGTCCACGGAATGCATGTTTTTTTAATATGCTGCAAAATGCAAAATCACTTTACATTAATACTAGCAATGCTTCGATTGATAATAATCCACTCGAAATGCAATTCATTAAGTTAAATTAAGGAATAGTGTAATGTCAAAAACCCCACTAGCATTAGCGTTAACTGTTGTCGTTACTTTGATGGACTTTGATGGATTCACTATAGCGAACTTGAAGTGATTTACACTTTTCTTTGAAAAAAAGCTCCTTATGTCCAGCTTCTTTTTTTTTCTGCCGCCATCCTCACATGTGTCACCAAACACACCTTCTTGCACGGGGAAAAAAATCCACTGCATTTGGCGCTGCTTGTATCTGAACGCAGCCACAGCCTCTCACGTGATAGCAGGGAAATGCACAGCCAATCAAAATGTTCATATGTGTTTTGGGGGCGGGATGACTCAAGGAGAGAACGTGATTTATCCCTTTCTGCGTGTCTAGGTTAATGTTGACAGCACGATTGTTTTTTTTGTTTTTTTTTAAGTGGATTAAATTATTGATGGGGACATTTCAATGGTCGGAGGATATTGGTGGGGACACATCCCCTCCGTCCACCCTAAATCTACGCCCCTGTGAAGATGGCTTCAGGAGAGACCACGATCAGAACAACAAACAAAACCGCAAGTACCAAGTGCGACTCATACTAAGTGCGTACTCTCAGCTATGTGCAAAAAAAAAAAGAAACCAAAAGACAACTCTCCACCTAAATCCCTACCCAAATAAACAGGACCCAAACACACTAGCAATTTACGGGGGGGGGGCACCATTTTTGTTCTTAGCCACCCTCTAGCTTGCAGTCCCAAATTTGCTGCCCTCTGTTGTTGCAGTTACAACTTTTAGCAGATTTTGAATTTGATCAAGCATACAAGTCCAGGGAATACAATTCTTTTTCTCTGCAGCTACTTACAGTGAAAGGAATGCTAATGCAATGCAAATTCAATTCAATTACATCTATAGTATTTTGGTTGTGTGGGTCTGCGACCCAGCAGAACCTGATGGGATTCCACAAAGTCCTGTATTTTGTTTTGGGCCAGGTATGGAGCAGTTGTCTATGTTCAACATCTAGCTGGGCTTGGGTTTGTTTTTTTATATATATATATGCGCAAATTGCTTGTTGCACTTGCGGGGTCCTTTGCTCATTTGCGCTTCCCATACCACCCACCCCCTGCCACTCCCTTTCTCTCTCATATATCAACTACCAATGGAAAAAATACGGCTTGCAAATCACTCCGTATACACGTTTGACTAATATTTCCACAACTTAGGGTTTGGGTTTTAGATTTCTAGTACTATTCAGGCTGGCTCAGGTTGGTCTCTAGGTCTCATGTACGGGCCAGGGTTTAATTCAGGGCTTGTATAGGACTCTAGTGGAAGTACTTTCTTTGTGTACTTGTACTGAGCTTTCAGATGGCTATTGCCACCACTGTTACAGTATTTAATTTTTTTTACAGTACACTATAATTTTCAATGCATGACAATTGTAAAACATTTTCACAATTGCAGGATGTAGAATTTGTGAATTCAAAAATAAAAAAAACATAAAAGCGATAAAAGCAGACAGGCATTCTGTCGTTCTCTGAGATTCTCGGCAAACTGGTGGCCCTTGCAGACAGAACATGAGAGTAGACTGACCCCAGGAGCCATTAATCCCGAGAACATCACGGGTCTCTGGCCCATTCCGACAGCAACAGTGAAACCCAGTTCCACGGTGACCCAACAGTACAGCAGCATTAATGGGGAGGACCAGAGCACTGTGTGTGTGGGAGAAACCTCATATCAGCTGCCTGGCAGTTTGTCATACGCTTATTCAACCCTGAGAGCTGAATAAAGCTCATTGCTTTTCTAGACAGAGAGAGATGTCTAATATATTCACTGGTTAAGTATGTTTGTGTTTTGCACAGTGGGGGGCTGGGGGACTCGGGTTATTATTTGCCTGTTTTTCTTGTTTAACGCCAGGGCTACCACTGGAATGAAATCCAAACCTGTATTAATTATGTTGTGCAGATTTGTATTTGTTCTCTATACTATTTTCACTGTTATTTACCACTGAAGTCATACAGAGTACAAGAATGTATTCGGATTGCAAGAACATGTTCTTTTAAAGTCATATTTCAAAGACTGTAGTTAGATTATCACTTTGTCTATACACTACTTCTCATTTTAGACCGAAATTTCAGTAAATCTCTAAAACCAAGAATCTGAAAACCAGTCTGGTTAGATCATAAATAAAAGTCTGATGTATGTACATGTGTTGAATGACATGATGGCTGCATCCTTTCATGATGACACTGAAGAATAATGCTTGTTCTGTTCTGTACCTGGACTGTCACAAAACCAATGATAAAGTTGTACTGGTATAGACATCGCCGCATGATACCTGAACTCATATGTGACGGTAATGAAGAATGAAAACTGTACTCTTTTCAGTATTTAGTAAGTAATGGAAACATCAGAATTTCTGGTGTTAATGTGCATGTTAATCTCCCCTTTAAATCGCTTTCCAAAACTCCCAGAATCCACTTTGTGGTAAGAGCTTTTCATTAATTCAAAATATTGTTAAGCTATTTGGGGGAATTTCACTCATATTTAAGTGATGTATTACAGCTGTGTCTTTGTTTTGTAAATGTACCAGTGCTTCATCATTTCTGATGGCTTTTAAAGTTTAGTGTTTTTTTATTGGAAGGCTAGTGGGTGGGATTCATTGTTTGGAGATTCTGGGTGAAATGCTAAAGCAAAACAAAAAATGCTTGTGGAAGATTCAAAACCGGGGTTAGGGAAATATTATGTACGGGGCTGACGGATATGACCTGGAGCAGCTATGCAGTGTAAGACCTACCCATCATCTTCCTGGGAAGCCAGCTGCTCAGCTCTCTCTCCTGCTATGTTTGCTAGCTGCAGAGTCTCCTGTTTTCTTCAATTCACTAAGTAATTACTGTGGCCTTAACCAGCCACCGGTTCACTTAAACAATTATCCAATTTAGCATACAGCCCTTCATGAAAATGCGGCCCACTGGAAGAAACTGAAAAAAGCTTTTAACGTTGAAACACTCAGTGGATGCTTCTTTTTATATCCAACATAAGGAGAGCTGTCAGACAACATTAGATATGTCATTATTAATCATGCATTCAGGGGATTAATGGTGTGTGTCTGGTAATAAATGTTACAAAGACGACAAACACATTCTTAATTTTTTTTTCTACTCTGAAGTACTTCTGTACTTCATTGCTCCTTTGTAGCTGTACAATCATTCCCCTTTGTTTAGCCACAATTAAATGGCGATGCCTGGACCCTGTGCTTGTCAAAGCCCATATGGAAACCTAGGCAAGCTTCACCACCCAGTTTCACTTTGTCTCAAGTGGAATGCACTGCCAGTGAAGCTTGCTTGGGGGGGAGAAGGGACAGTGCTTGCTATGTCAGCACCCCCTCGGAAGACGGCTGCCCATGTTGCCTAATGGGGTGAGCATGTTTTTCCTCATGGACTCAGCATCTTTTAGGCACATTTTAGCAAACATCAACGGAGCCAGTTCCTTTTATTGATGAGAGAATTTTGTTTGCTCATTTCGCAAAAAAAAAAAAGAAAAAAAAGTGCCATAGAGATGGTTGTCCTTCTCGCAGGTTCTCCCATCTTCACAGAGAACCTCTGGGAATCTATGATCTTCAGCTACTGGTCACCTCCCTGACTCTTACTTTAGTCCCTTTTTGCTTATTTTGGTTGAGCAGCCAACTCAAGGTTGCTCAAGTTGGTGGCTTCGAACATCTTCCATGTAAGACCAGTGGAAGCCATTGTGTTCTTCTGAATCTTGAAAAGCCACAGAAATTTTTCTGTGTCCTTTCCCAGCTCAATCCTATTTTGTAGGTCTACAGACAATTTCTTTGATCCCATTGCTTGATTTTTCCTCTGAAAAGCATTGTTTGTGGTGGGGTTTTATATAGGCACATGTGTTCTTTGTCTTCAGTTGAATTTACCACAGGTGAACTTTAATCAAATTGTAGAAACATCTCAAGAATGACCAATGGAAATGGGATGCACCTTAAGTCAATTTTGAGTGCCATAGCAAAGGTTCTGAATACTTATGTAGATGTGATATTTCAGTTTACTAATACATTTACAAAAACTTACAAATCTATTTCTGCTTTTTGATTATGGTGTATTTGTGCATTTAATCTATGTCTGTTATTTAAAAAATGTAAAATGAAGCGACCTGAATAATTTCTGTACTGTACTGTGCTTGTTAGTAGAGGTGGACTTGGGGAGTGTAGACTTGGCTATAAATGGAGTGAAAAATGGAGAGAAAGCCAGAAGAAGAGCATCAATCATAGGTACAGAACACATAACTTCACAGCTTAAGCTGAATAAGTCCAGAAAACTATCACAAGCAGAATAATGTGCAGTGGATGAAAAATTTACATTTAAGTTAAATAAAATTCACAGATTTATGATGCATGATTGTTTTTTCCTTTCTCAATATACGGCTCTGTGGGTTAAGATTCTGTATCTGTGGTCGGAAGGTCAGCGGTTCAAATTGCATTGTCAGCCGTGTGAATTGACTGCTGGACCCCTGAGCAAGACCTTTAACCCCAGTTTTCTCCAAGGACTGGCTGATCCTGCATTCTCAGTTGTAGAATATTGGTAAATATGCAAATGTAAAATATGCACCCAACCTCCTATATGATGGAAAAGGATCTTCTGGGTTTCATGTTTGCATCATTCTGCATTTGTGTGTGTGTTTCATGGGTGCATCATATTTTCTGTAGTGCAGGTTTCTTCCTTTAGTACAAAACAACATTGTACATTACTTTGCGCAGAAGTATCCATCCATCCATCCATCCATCCATCCACAAGTCGGCTTTTCTAATTTTCCCAGACTGTATTTGCATGCCTGGTGATGGACTAGCATCCTGTTCAGGGTCTCCTGTGCATCCTGGGATAAGCTCCAAGCTCATTGTAACCCTGGATCGATGAACTATTTCCTTTTTATCAGCCGGTAAAATAAGAGACGCTCAGCTCAGTTGAATACACCTACCTTGAATCTGAGATGTGCAGAGCAGGGACCATGCTTATAAACTAGAAATACTCAACCACAGGCACTGCCTCACAAAAATGGCCTTGCATTAGCCACCCATCTGCATTGTTTATTTCTGAATATTCATGAGTATTTGTCTTATTAATATTCCACCCCCCTCCGCTCATGCAGCAGGTCTCGCGGGTTTTCTTTGTTCCCTCCGTGGTAATTAAAATCCAGCAGACTGAGCGACTGGGCTGCAAAGCAGGAATGCACCATAACTGATTCTCAGGGAGCCAGATGGATTTTTACTGAACCCCAGGGGACAGCCGCAGTGTGGCATACTCTCACATCAGCTCTGCACAAAGACTCGACCCAGTCCGTATTTCCCTGATTAAATACAAACACCAAAGCTTGTCTAAAGAGGCCTGAATGTGACAGCAGATTGAATAGTGCTAATGTAACGTCACACCATATGAGAAAAGAGATTACATGGGATTTTTTTTTACGTTATTGTCTCTGTGTTTTGCAACTACAAGGAACAAAGTTCACAAGTTCTCAATAACTTTAACAAATAGCTTTTTTGTTTAAAAAGACAAAAAAAGAACCTATTTGTTATGACGTTATGAAAAATAGAGATGCT